TTTGAGCAGTACGTGTCTTGTATGTGTGTAGTATAGTACACATTCTATATGAAACCATATACGGTATGATATAATGAAATATGTTTATATGTATCTGTATATGCATATGTATATGTATATGCATATGTATATGTATATGTATTGGCTGGACTAGCCGTGCCCAGCCTATGCCGGGAAGCGAGGAGTGGCAGCAGTCAAGGACCACGGTGGCCTTGCCTCTCGTGCAGGAAACGGGAAGACTCAGACTCAGGAGCGAAGAGCACAGTCACAGCGAAGAGCCGAGGAAAGGGTCAAAGAGCACAGCCGCCGTAAGAATCGGTGTCCAAGCGAGGAGCATCCTGCTGGGAGCTTGGAGAGGGCTTGCGAAACCTCCGTGAGGGGCACCAACCTGCAACAGCAAGAGCAGCAGGGCGGCAGACCGGGGGCCAACGCACTGGCCGGCTTGCAAGCTGAACCTGTAGCCGCCGGTGCTATCTCCGCCACCACTTCTCAAGGCCTCCACACTTCAGAACGATCTCCGGAGGCTTTTTTCGGCTTCTCGCTTTGGGCGCCCGGCAGCATAGTCAATCGGAACGAGACATGCCTCGAAGCTGCCCACACCTTCAGGCCATCTGGAACTGCCGAACGCAAGGGTTGTCTTGCCTGGGGACCGTGCCGTGCGGAAGCAGTGCCCCATAGCCTCCACACAAGGGTTCATTAAACCATGGGCCTTTTTCCTGAAAGCTTGTGAACAAGAAACCGGCGCCTGCAAAGTAGAAGAACACCTCATCGCCAGGAAGCGTGTCGGCTGCGAGCCACTGCAGGCCTACGAACCAAGGGCATTGCCACTGAGCCTCTAGTCCTCTCTGGGGCCCCTCTTGAGTTTGCTCTCTACTCTCTTACCAGGGGAAACTCATGTCACTCATGTCACTCCTGTCACTCATGTCCCAACTCTCATGGCTCCAGTGGCCTTCGGTGATGGTGGCAGCCGTCGGCCGCCGCTGGGGAGGCATTGGGCAACTTCGCGTGCCGTCGACGATGAAGCGAACCTGACAAGGAGGAGGTGCAAATTTGAGGCATTGCACAGTTTCTTCGGGCTTAGGATTGGTGTTTAAGGTTCAGTCAGGCTTAGTCAGGTTGAGTCAGGCTTAGCGAAGTTTAGTCAGTTTAGTCACTCCAACTTGTTCAACTCGTGTGGCGTCCTGGCTCTCCGAGAACTGCAGCGTGTGCCGAAGGAGACTGAGGACCTGGCAATTTGCGCAGATCGCACGTACCGTCGAGGCCCCCCTCCCCCCCCCCCCCCTCCCCCCTCGGACCTTCGGAGTTGCCCCAAGCCTACCGGTACTGCGCGCACTTTAGCCGGAAACGTGCCGCGGTGACGTTCCAGGCATCGTTGATGGCCCCCTTCAGCGGGGTGCTCCTCTTGCCAGCACGGCTGCACAGAGATTCCACACGAGAGCGGTCCTCCCTGAATAACTCACGAATTGCTTAAGCCCCTTGGGCCCCTGGCAACTCGAAATAGCTGCAGCCGATGACGAGTGCTTTTCTGCGACTGGCATGGGGCCTTGCAGAGCCGAGAGAAGCGTGGGATCATGATGTATCATGATGCCACGAAAGCCAACGCAGGCTTTGCTCAAAGAGCCCAGAAATGCCAGCGCTCTCAGGTGAGATGTCACACCACGCAGTGTCACCGCGATGCTAAGCAGGCCCACGGCAAGGGCAGTGCGGAGAGCACCTGCGGAGGCGCGGCGTGCCCGTCGCCGTGATGCAACCGCACCACGAGATTTGGACTCAGTTGGTATGGAATCGGATCATTTTTTGCATTAAGGTTATAAGTACCCTACATCGGGTTATAAGTATAGTTACCATATCTATAAATCTATAACCCTAAGCATTCATGAATGGGACGTTTCTGGAGGACCAATCGAAAGAGACGAGACCCCAAGAGTCCACAAAGGGGCCAATTGGGTTCTCTCTGCCTCGCCCCACCCCCTTTCGCACCTTCGCACCTTCGCACCTTCGCACCTTCGCACCTTCGCACCTTCGCACCTTCGCGCCTTCGCACCTTCGCACCTTCGCGTTTTGCAGGTTGCCGCTATTCTCCCGCTAGTGTCTGCACATTCTACGTGTCGGGGCGAACTTTCCTCAACGCAACTCATCATGTTGATTCATGTTGACTCGCGTTGATCCATGTTGATTCATTTTTGCCTGCTGCACCAGCACAGAACCCCATTCATAGAATCACAGACTCCTTGTCTTGCATCATCAGACTTTGGCATCATCATCCCAACACTTGCCAACCGTACATGCAGAGTCTTAGATTGAATCTTCTCAAATCTTGAGGCTAAGCTGGTAAAAAGGAAACAAGTTGGTCCGCAACATGAAATGGCTTGAGCCACGGCACAAGGCTCTGTTATGCTGCGCTCGTGAACCCGAGACCGTCAACCCTGAACAAGCTGGGGCTTTGCGAAAGTAGGGACCCTAGTATCGACCTCACAATTAGAATCCCCTGAAGATAAGGAGCCCAATAAGGCACCCCCCTAATTTCGGAGACCCTGAACAAGATTGCATGGCGCGGGAGAAGCACCATGCCACGCAAAGCCGCCGGGATCGACCGCACCTGCAGGGGGGAGGGCTCTGAGCTCTCTTGGCTCCGGGCCCTCCTCAAACGCTAACCCCTAAACCCTAAACCCTAAACCCTAAACCATCCCGAACCCCCTGCACCCTAAAGGCGCTCGGGGTGCTGGGCACCGCAAGACAGCAACTTGGGGCCTTCGACACCTCCTCCCGCATACGAGGCTCCTCCACGAACGCAGACGTACCAATAGGGTCTTTTAGGTTTTTTAAGGGTTTTTGGGGTTTTTTAGGGTTTTTTAGGGTTTTTTAGGGTTTTGGGGTTTTGTGGTTTTTTGGGGTTTTGGGGTTTTGGGGTTTTGGGGTTTTGGGGTTTTGGGGTTTTGGGTTGTGGGGTTTCAGGGGTCCTCCTTCTTGGGAGCTAGTTTTCCAGAGCAGTTGGATTCCCTGAAACTCCTAGTTCTCATGTAGTATCAGATATACGTATATATATATATATATATATATATGTATGTATATATATATATATATATATGCATATGTCTATATATATATATAGACATGTATGTCGATAGATATACATACATCCGCGCGCAGGCGGGACTAGCCAAGACCGTCTCGCGCCGATGCGCAGCTTCGCCGACGCGCCGGTTGCGCCGACCCCTTAACCCGCCAAAGCTCGACTTAGAACAACTTAGGGGTTTAGGGTTTAGGGTTCAGGGTTTGGGGTTTGGGGTTTAGGGTCTCGGGCTGAGGGGCTCCTTCTTGTAAGGGTCCAGGTAGTGTGTATGTGCCTGAAGGCTGAGCCCATGCTCCTCCCCCCAACCCTAGAGCCACAGCTGGCGGTTTTGCCAGCTATGTGGGAGCGACGTCCTACTGAGTGCCGCATCTAGACTGGAACACGGACGTACTCTGAATCTCTCCGTGCTGTCTGCGCGTGATGTCCATCATCACAGGTCAGCGTGGGCAACTGAGCTTTTAAGAGTCAAAATATACTATACATGCCCTGGTTGCGAGAGCGCAGACCCCAAGAAGCCGCAAACCCTAAATCCTAAAACACGCTGCGCACCCAGATTGTACCTCGCCTGGCCTGTCCGAGCGTGAGCGATTTAAAACACAAGCCCTCAAACCCGAATCACTGCCCTGATGCTGCCCCCAAGTCTTGTAAACCTAACCAGCTCCAGGGAGTCCATAATTATACCTAACCCCCTAAACCCTGAACCCTAAACCCAGTTTTAGGGTTTAGGGTTTCCCTAACTCCAAACCCCAAACCTTAAACCCCAAACTCTAAAAAAAACCCTACAACCCCAAACCCTGTAAACCCCTAAACCCTAAACCCCAAACCCTAGGAAACCCCTGGAACCTAAACCCCAAACCCTAAACCCTGAAGATCCGCCTAACGATTAGGCTCCAAGCTAAGGAGCCGATTGGGCTTTTAGGGCGGTTTGGCCCCCTGAATGAATCAATTGGATTGCGCCAACTTAGCATCTTTGTGCGTTTAGTCAAAGGGGTGGTGGGGAGGGCTGGGACTGAAACAACCAGGGCGAAATTCTGCCAGTCATGTGACCTTTCTGTCCGTAACCTTTGATCATTTGTCATTCTTGACTGAATGAAGTTATTGCAAGATCGTGCCCAAACTGGTGGATGAACTTGCTTTTTCAATGAACATGTGCAACTTTACTAGTTAAATTGCTCAGTTGAAGGGCAGAGGTGTAACATGAGAGGCTACGTTCTGTCACACAGTCTTTAACTGGAGAGGCATATACTCATCGCAGTATGTTACTGTTGGGTTGGATTTTCGGTTGGAGGGCGCCGGCGGTATGAAATATTGTGGACTTGGATGTAGACCACCGGACTAAATGAATACTTTGGTCTTGGATTCTCCTTAGAGGGTCTTGTAGGAGTCGGTGCCAAACATACTTACCATTTACGATCGAAATGCGGTTGCTAAGAAGGGCAGATCCTGTTTCATTGGGTCGGCAGAAGGGTGGATAAGCATATACATGGTGTATACAGCACATCTATATACCTAAGATGCGCCATGAGACATGTTTAAGCCTTATGCAACTACCACTTATGTTTGACAAGGCGATTGAAACTCTCGCAGTCACAATGCGGGCCTCATCGCGTCCCGGGGCCGAGCGCATCACCTGACAAAGGGGCACTCAAAGGGGCGCAAAAGGGTAGCGGGGAGCTGTTCAACCGGGTCAAATCCACACAAATCGGCGCCCTCACATGGGTGGCTGCTTGACAAGAAGTTGGCGGTGTAAAGTGTTACTCCCCCAAGTGCACCATGCGAGTCGTGCCCAGCGCCACAAGAACACTTCATTACACTTTCTTCTGCGGATCGACGCGCGTTGCACTCAACATCTGCCGAATCAAAAGCTTGTAGTCTTCCATGCCTACCTGCAGACGTGTGTCTCGAAAGTAGGCAAGTAGCTCAGTTCCCTGCTGCCTAGCAGAAGCAGTCCACCAAGCACTCAGCGAGCTCCGGTACAGATCGGAACTCTCGAAGCGCTGGGCCCTCAAGTGGCCCAAGAGGCGAATGCTTTGCTGCCAGTTCTCCAAAGCGCTGCTGAGTGCAGCACTTGTTAGGTCCATTGTGAGCAGAGCCGTCGAAGCCGTCGAAGCCGCCGTGGTGGTCACGGGGTCTGCGTGGCCAGCCGTGTGGTAGTCAAAAACATGCAGAGCCTCAGGCCAAGCAGACGCCAAGCATGCTCGGACCGCGGGGCTCCAGCTGTAAACGTCGGCTTGCAAACCGGAGGCACGCAGCTCTTGTAGAGTTGCCAAGGACGTCTTCCAGGCCTGTGCCTTGTCACATGCGCTGATGACGAGATTGAAGCTTGCTACGTCAAGCTCTACTGCTCGTGCAGAGCTCTGATGCAGGAGCCAGAGTGCTTGCTCCCACTCCGCCGCTCTTCTGCAAGCACTCAAAGCAGCAATGTAGGACACCGAATCAACCGAATCCCCCTCGGAAGCCTGGAAGGCACGCAGGGCCACCGCCCACGCGCCGGCTTCCCCACACGCGGCGATGAGGGAGTTCCTGAAGGAAACCTTCTCCCCCAGGTCCTGCTCTCCCAGAATCTCTCCGAGGTCTCCGTGGATGCGCAGAGCCAGCGGCCAACTCCCTCGAGTTCGGAAGGCTCCGATGGCAACGTTGCGGGTCTTGATGCTCAAGTCCAGGTACTGGTGTCGGGCATCCATCAAGAGCCCTAAGGCCTGAAGCCACGCTTTCAATGCATTCGCTTGCGAGTCACTTCCCAAAGCAGACAGAGCGGAACTGTAGCTGATGGTATCCAGCCTCACCTGGCCTTGGCGAGCCTCCCTGGCCAGATGCAAAGCCTGCTGCCACTGGCCTCCGCACCCCAGCCCGTTGATTGCCACGTTCAACGCAAAGGTGGTCACCCTCGAGCTCTCGCGAAGGTCCAGAAACAGGGACAGCGCGCGCTGCCACTCGCTCGCCTGGCCGCAGACGCCCATGGCCGCGCAGTGCGCCACCGCGTTCGCCCGCAAGCGCTCCGAGGACATGGCTTCCAGAAGCTGCAGCGCGCGCTCCCACTGCCGGTCCATCTCGAAGGCGGAGATGAGGGTCGAGTAGCTGATGGCGTTGGCGCGCATCTCTTGTTGGGCTGCCTCCTCCAGCAACGAGACTGCGAGCTCCCAGCAGCCCTCGGCCCCGCACGCAGCCATGGCCGAGTTGTAGGAGACCAGCGTTGCTTGCACATCCATGCGAGCTATCTGGCGAAGTAGGTGCAAGGCCATGGTCCAGCTCTCACATGCAGCGATAGCTGCATTGAATGTAACAGCATCAGGCTGCATGTGGCGAGCAGCGACTTCGTCAAGCAGCAGCATGGCCTGCTGCCACTGGCCACATCTGCCACACGCGCTCATCGCGGAGTTAAACGTCACGACGTCGCTTTCAACTGTCCGAAGCTCGGCCTCCCTCAGAATACCCAGTGCCTCCTGCCACCGTCCAGCCCTCTCACACGCAGATATTGAAGCGTTGTACGTGATAATGTTTGCTTTGCTCTTTCTTTCAGCTCTTCGCAGCAGCGACAAAGCCATCTGCCAAGCAAGACCTTCTCCGCACGCGCTGATACTTGCGTTGTAGGTGATGGCATCCTGCGGTATCAGATTGGACGCCATCTCGCGCATGAGGCTGAGGACCAGTTGCCACTGGCCAGAATTCCGAGTGGCAGAGATGACCGTGTTGAAGGTCACGATGGTGGGGTGCAATTGCTGGAGCTTGGCATCCACCAGCAAGCTGGGAATTGGCAGCCACTGCCCTGCCTTCTCACACGCGCTGATGACTGCATTGTACGTGACGATGGTCGGCTTGGTCCGCAGCTTCGCCTCGCGAAGGAGGGACAAAGCCCTTTCCCAGGCAGATCTCCTTCGGCACTCCGTGATGGCTTCATTGATGTCCTCGACGCGCAGATACATGTTGGGCCTGTTGGGCTTCCCACCCCATCCTGGCGTGAGTGCCTGAAGGCCTCGATCAAGAGGTTGTACCAGCGCGAAGATGTCGGAGTTGAACATGCAGAACGTGCAAGATGCATCAGCGGGGGCATCCACGCCCGAGCCCCAAAAAAACTGGCTTCAGAAACCGTCAGGCATGAAAAGTCGAAAAGCTCTGGCCCTCTGGCGCAGGTGCCACGTTATCCGCCTGGCGACCACAACCCTCTCGCTCACCCGCACCGAACCCCTAGCCCCTAAACCGTAAACCCTAGCATCTTCCGTTGAAGAGCCCCCGGTGCTTACCCGAAACCCGGGGAAGCCCGCAAGCATGAATCTCACACTTCCTCAACCTAAATCCTGAAACCCTGAAGGCCTGAAAGCTCTGGAACCCTAAAGACTTGAACCCAAGAAGCCCACCCCCCATCAGCCTTACTCGAAGAAATCGCGGTTGCAAGAGACACCACCCACGGCCTCGGAGACGCGCTCGAGCTCCTGTAACAACCTGAGGTCGCTCGAGCAACCAGAACATCCCCAAACCTTACAAGGTTCCCAAGAACTCCTAGCACTAGGATGGCCCTGAAAACCACCCTCAAAAATGCTCGTAACTATGGTCCCAAAGAAGGGAAGCTGTAAAGTGTTCCAAGGGCCTGCCTAGGGCAGCACCCCCAGCAACCACCCAAGCCACCCCGGCTCACGTCTGACTTTCGGCCGCCTCGTCTCACAACTGGTGCTGCGGCTCTTCAGGTCCTCGATCTCGGCCTTCGAAAAAATAGAAACGTGCCTATTCATGTGGCCCCGGGGGGTGGGGGTGGTGCAGGGGTAACCCTACGTAGCCATATCGGGGTTTCCGATATTCGGGGGGTACCCTATTTGGGGTCCCTTATTTCGTAAACCCTCATTATGTACCTCAAGGCCCTCCGAGTGCTCGGAAGGTGTTGCTTACAGACCAGGACCTACTGCACTGGAGGGATTTTGGCAGGGCTGCCTGCAGGCTGGCCCGCCACGTGTTGACCTGCGCATTCTCACAGAATCGCGGGGGGCGGACGTGGGCGCACGCAGCAGGTGGGCCCCCCCCTCGCGCAACGCCACGATGGCCTGGCCTGCTCCGCAAGCTGCCTGCGCTGGGCCGCACAGTGCGGGAGGTTCCAAGTTTTCAGGCAAGCTTACAAGAAGCAAGCAGTACGAAGCCTGATACCCAAGTATCCCTCAGTACACCAGAAAGAAATATGCGCTTCTGCAGAGCTCTTCTGTGCCCCGGAACCCGCTGGAGGCCGCAATGAAGCTCTGCTCTAGGTGCTCCGTCCTCTCGTGCTTTTGTGGATTAGAGGAGGCTTACAGCCTAGTGCCCACCGAAGCGACGTGACTCAGCTCTCTTCTAGACTCAGCTTCGCTCCTCTCGAGCGCCGTGTTGATCATCTCCTGCACAGGGACTTCGGACTCTTCGGACTTCGGAGTCCACGACACCGCGCCATCGGAGCATCTAAGAATACCAAAGACAGTCAAAGACAACTGTGACAGGAGCGACAGGAGCGACCCGAGCGACATCTGCACTGTCAAAAAAAAGAAGCCCGCCGCCTCCAGATGCACCTGCCAGAATGATGCGGGTGCGGGTGCCGGGGCTCTGCACTCGGCACTTGGACTTGGATGCACTTGCGCTCCTTGGAGTCACCGCCGAAGGATGGGGCAGCCTGCACATGCACCGCACGCAGTAGGGAGGTCTTAGGCTTGAGATGTCTAGGGAGAGTCTAGGGTCAGAGGCCTTGCGGGCTTGATTCTTTGCCCTCGCGATCGGTTTGGACGGTAGCACCCGGCGCCCCAAGCCCTTTCCACCCCCTCCCTCCCCTAGTTTTCTGGTGGCACATCATTTTTCGGAGATGGCAAGACAGAAACGAGACACCAGGCCGCCCCTGCCAGATGTGGGCAACGTCCGACCTCCCTAAACGGCCACGCTTTTGGGAGCTCGCGATCCGGCCTCCTGCACGGCTTTGCACACCTCCTGCGCAGCAAAAACCGATCTGGAACCCTAACCCCACACAGTGTCCCAGCATCCTCCCACAGTTTCCACACGCATCCACACGCAACGCGTCTTTGCGGCGCTCCCATGTCCGTCCTCCATGCGCTCGGCCGTCGCCTGGCCCAGGACCATCAGCTTTGCCAGCTCCGCGCGGAGCTGCGCCTCTACAGCCTGCCGCGATGCTACGAGATTCTGGTCTCTGACGGTCTCTGGCTATGACGATAAAGGCAACTCAGAGAGCTTGAAAAAATGGCACTCAGTGGCTCGGCCTCGAGACGCTCCGAGACGACCTGCGTGAGCTGGGCGCACTCGGCCAGGTCCGAGCGCGTCTGGGCCATCTTGTCCTCTTCACATCTCAGAAGCTCAAGCAGAACTTTTTGCCAAGATTTGCCGGCGCAGCTTTAGATGCGGTACCGCAGCAGTGACCTGAACATCTGGGAAGAGTCGCAGCAGTCAAACACACAGGTCAGCCTTGCCCCACTGGGAAGCAAGTCATCAACAAGCGCTGAGATCTCGCGCTCGGTGATGGGGCCGGCTTCTTGCCAGTCACTCGGCAACAGCTCAGCATGGTCGCCATGACCAGCAAAGAGAAGGAAAAGCTGCAGTGGAGGGCTGACCTCATGACCACAAGAGCCACAAGGCCCTTCACAAGGTGCTTCGGAGCTCTGCTCGTCTCCGGATAGCAGCCACCGAAGGTGGGCCAGAATGTTGCGCCGCGAAGGCACGTGCTCAGAAACGTCACTCAGAATTCGCAGGCCTTGCTCCGGGACGATACCCTCTCGAAGCAGCCAGGACCGCATGTCCTGAACGTCATTCCAGGAGCCCTCAAGTTTCACGTCCTCCTCGTAGCAGATGCCGATCAGAAGGGCTCGGGCTTCCGAAAAGGGGCCCAAGGCCACGCCGATGCCGCCACGATCGCCACGATCGCCACGGCCGCTGCGGCTCTCCAGCAGGTCCTGGGAGCATCTCAAGGTCACCGTCGCGTTCTCGACGCCCGATCGCTGGAGCGCGGCCTGCATGCGGAGTTGCAGCTGGCGGAAGGACAAGGACCCCCAGGCTCGGCCCGCTGCCAGGAGCACTGCGAGCAGCGCTTGGGTGCAGAGTCCACCTTTTGCCTGGCCCCACAGTGAAGGCAACGCGGGCAACCAGTCGAAAGCGGATGCTTCGGTGGCTTGTGGTCCTTTAAGTTCGGGCTCGAGTTCCTCAGAGCTTTCCGAAGGAACCTCGGCAGCAATGACGACCACCAGCCGGTCCTCGTCTCCGTTCAAGCCATAGCCCAAGATGCCGCATGTGCGCAGCAAGCAGCGCAAGACCATCCCAGGATTGCCCCCTGTGCTCGCACTGCGCTCTCCTACATGCTCTGCATTGCCCTGCCCATGGACCCTGCACCAACCGAAAGTCCCAAACCTCGAAGCTGACCCGGAGCTAGCAAACCCAAAACTTTCGAATGTCTCATTGAATATCGGCCACTTCCGTGTTCGAACCCTTCGGAGGGGAGGAGACAAAACCGCGCAAGAAGAGATGCAAAGCCCAAACACCTAGTCGTTCCAGTCACCAGCAAGGGCCCCAGGTACGCAGAGGCGGTCCTGCAGCTGGACTTCTAGATCCTGTTTCCTTGGCGCAGCTTCTTTGCAAACTCGGGAGCCTTCTCGCACACACAGCTGGGGACCGAACAGGCTGGAACTATCCGCTTCCTGCGATGCCGCCTGGGCCTTGTAGCCCTGGGCGACCTGCGCCAGACTCGCGGATGTTTGATGCGGGCGAGGGGGTGCTTCCGAGAAAGCTTCCAGTGGAGCACAACCTAAAAGGGACGAGAGCAGCTCTGGGAGCTCAGGGAGGCAGAGGGATTGAAGCTGTCAAGTTCATCGAAGGCTCACGGCAGCCCCCCGACCTTTTTTTTTGTCCCCCCCCGCAGCGCTGCGGAAGAGAGTCTCACGAATCTGCCCCCCCCCACACGGGCTCTCTCGAAGGGCTCTTGGAGGCGATACCATCTTACGCCGTCGTCTGGAAGTGGGGGACGACACTGTCGTACAAGATGCCGCACATGCCTTCATACGTCGGTGAGATACTTCAGTGGCTGGAGCTCAAGGCAGGCTGAAGCTGTTCCTGAAAAATCCCAGTCTGAGCCAAGACACCGCAGACCCGGACTTGGGCAGGGTCACCCGTGCACGCTGTGCCTTCAATCGCTCTCACTCTGCAAAAAAGGGCCCTATTCGCGTTTTTGAGCTCCAGGTTCTCTCTACTAAAAGTCTCTTTTTGCCCAAGGTTCCCCTCTCGGGCTGCCGGTCCCAACCACATTGCTGCACGTCATCTGCGTCGCTGCGAAGAATGCGAATACGACCGTCCTCAATCAGAGTCAGGAACCGGACAAAGTTTGCTCTCTCGCTCTCTTTCTCTCGTCTCTCGCGCGTGAGAGCAGAGCTGAGCAGATCCGGGGCGCCTCGCCCCAGGTGTCACCCCAGGAGTTTTGTATCAAATAGTACTTGTCGCCAGATTTGGGATCTTTGCCGTAGCCGATCAGTGTGACCGCGTGATCAATGACGGAGTCCTCCACAGCGCAGCGACTGCCACCCTACAAAAGATCCAGACTCTCGTGCGCGCATGCGCGCAAGTCACAATTCGATGGCTCTCTGCTCTCTCCGTCTGATGAACTTTCCCACTGCTTTCGCCCCGGAGTCCTTTGTGCAATGGTCAAAGATACCAGTGGAGTAGAGATGCCTCAGGATTCGGCAGCTGCAGACTTGTGAAAGCCTGAACCCCCCCAGCCCAGACAGAAGACGTACGGCGGACGTTTCTGCCACCAAGCTGCCAGTTTGTTGCTGCGACAGACACTCCCACAGGGCCCCGCTCGTACAGGGCTCGCAGGAGGGGCTCTTGACCTACGGCTCTGGGCACTTCGACCCCCCCTGGGGTTCTAGGATGTCCAGGATGCTCAGTGCTTAGGATGTTAGGGGAATGCAACCACTGCTGAGCCGGCGGCGATTTGGTGCAAGCTTCTCCCATCCGTGCAGGCCGAAGGCGAGCCCGGAAGAGTCTGCCGCAGCCTTGTACACGCGCGGAGCCTGCATGTCCGTATGCCTTGCACGCGACAAAGGAGTCTTTCGACAGGTGACCGAACATGCAAGAGACATGTTGCCAGGCAACTAAGTAAGTTCAGAAGAAAGCCAAGGAATCAAAGAAAATGGAACCAAATAGAAGACTGACCCGGCCCAAATCACGACGGAAACGACTGACAGTCTAATGGAGAGGTCACCACACCTGATGGCAGTGAGAGTACGACCTTTCCTGGAAGATCTACATGATGCGCGTTTGGCACGTTCACCCAAAACCAAACACACCACAAAGGCTTCGACCTCCTGGGAATCCCCCAGACACAGAACCCAGGAGTTGATAGACACCTCAGGAGTCGAGGCGTAAACAGTTGTTGGTTGGCATGTTCCCCCCTTATACTAACAGTCCTTAATGGGGATTTTCATGTAGGGTACTACACTCCCCAAAGAAGGACTGTTCATTTAAAGGGGCAATATCCTGAAGCGTTGGGCCTGTCAAGGCAAAAAAAGGAGGAATAGCCCCACTGGAGGCAAGATGCTCGTGCAGGTATGCGAGGGCGGCGAGGTCCTCTTCAAGCTGCGCCCGGGACTGGTTTGCAACGTCCAGGGCTTCCTCACCACTGTCCTCTGCAAGAGACAAAAGTAATGAATTGGGATGTTCCCCCTTTTCTACGCACAGCCCTTAATGTGGATTATAGCAGGGGGCGGGGGTACTATGATCTAAGGACTGTTAGCAATCAGTACAAGGGGGGAACATCTCATATCATGAAATTATCACATATTCCTCTGCAGTTCCTCCCACTTTCCTTACTTCTCACCGAGCGTCCTGGTTGAAGGCCTCGGCCATCCTCGGTGAGAACGCTATGAGAAACATCCCCCCCCCCCCAACAAAACCAGCGGAAAAATGAAAATCAACAACCCCCTACCCAAAAAACACAAATGCCATTTATACAATATTATACAATCATAACAACAACAAAGGCTTTTAGTATTGCAATATATTGTTAGTATAGTAATCAGAATTATGAATCACTAATCCGCCGACCCCAGCAGCAGCGGGGCGGCGTCAGTGAAGACCCATTTTTGTCCGCTCTAGGGGCTTTAGTGCATGGCCCCTTCCCTTCCCCCCCCCCCACCCCCACACACACCCTGCCCATCCCATGCTACGCTCTTCGCGCCCGCTCCGCCCACCTCGCCTATGGCCCGCACTGCCCTTGCTGCCCGCCCACCCCGCTCATGGCTCCTCCGCTTGCTCCGCTCTTCCCGTCCGTACTGCCCTTCTCATGGCCGCATGGTCCCCAAGGGCGTACCCTCCTCACCCCCACCCCGACTCCCACCCCCACATACACCCTGCCTATGGGTCCCTTCCTATGGCCCCATGGGCTGCCGCCCCCTCCGCTTGCTCCGCTTGCTCCGCTTGCTCCGCTCTTCCCGCCCGTACGGCTCTTCTCATGGCCCCATGGTCCTGAAGGGCGTACGGCTCCATGGCTCCATGGCTCCGCCCTTCCCGCCCGCACTGCTTCTCATGGCCTCAAGGGCTCATGGCCCCATGGCTGCATGGTCCCATGGCCCCAGGCCCTTGGACCCTATCAGCTGAATTTAAAGGGCCCGAGTGCACCGCTTGCTCCGCCCTTCCCGCCCGCACTGCCCTTCTCATGGCCCCGTGGTCTCCAAGGGCTCGTGGCTCCATGGCTCCATGGTCCCATGGCCCCACCCTATCAGCTGAATTTAAAGGGCCCCAATACAAGCCTGCCCCCTCTGCTGGCTCTGCCCTTCCCGCCCTTCCCGCCCGCACTGCTTCTCATGGCCTCAAGGGCTCATGGCCCCATGGCTGCATGGTCTGCCCTTGCTGCCCGCCCACCCCGTCCATGGCTCCATCCGCTCGAACCCCTCCCCACCCCCACCCCGACTCCCACCCCCCTATGGCTCCCTTCCTAGGGCATGGTCCCCAAGGGCGTACTCCCTCACCCCCACCCCGACTCCCACATACACCCTGCCCATGGGTCCCTTCCTACGGCTCCATGGGCTGCCGCCCCCTCCGCTTGCTCCGCTTGCTCCGCTTGCTCCGCTCTTCCCGCCCGTACGGCTCTTCTCATGGCCCCATGGTCCGCAAGGCCCTCATGGCTCCATGACTCCGCCCTTCCCACCCGCACTGCTTCTCATGGCCTCAAGGGCTCATGGCCCCATGGCTGCATGGTCCCATGGCCCCAGACCCCTGGACCCTAGCAGCTGAATTCAAAGGGCCCCAGTGCATGCCCGCCCCCTCCGCTTGCTCCGCCCGCGCTGCCCTTCCGGGCCTCGTGGCCCCATGGCTCCATGGTGCCATGGCCCCACCCTATAGGGCCCCAGTGCATGCCCGCCCGCTCCGCTTGCTCCGCCCTTCCGCACTCCATGGTCACCTTATCATCCGCCTTCTTCTGCCCTTCCTTTGCCCCCCCATGGCCTCATGGCCCCATGCCTCTCACCCTCAATGGCTCATGGCCCCATGGCTCCATGGTCCCATCCCGCCCCATGGCTCCCACCCTATCAGCTGGCATGCCCGCCCTCTCCGCCCTCCCCCCTCCACCCTTTCCGCCCTTTCCGCCCCCTCCGCCCTTCCCGCTCCGCCCCCTCCGCCCTTCCCGCTCCACGGCGCTCCATATGGTTCCCGCCCCCTCCGCCCTTCCCGCCCCATGGCGCTCCATGGCTTCATTGTGGACCTTATCATCCGCCTTCTCCGCCGCCTCTGCCCTTCCTTTACCCCCATGGCCTCATGGCCCCATGCCTCTCACCCTTAATGGCTCATGGCCCCATGGCTCCATGGTCCCATCCCGCCCCATGGCTGCCATGGCTTCACGGCTTTGGACCCTATCAGCTGACAAAGGGTCCCAGCGCATGCCCCAAGGGCGTACCCTCCTCACCCCCACCCCGACTCCCACCCCCACATACACCCTGCCTATGGGTCCCTTCCTATGGCCCCACGGGCTGCCGCCCCCTCCGCTTGCTCCGCTTGCTCCGCTCTTCCCACCCGTACGGCTCTTCTCATGGCCCCATGGTTTTGAAGGGCGTACGGCTCCATGGCTCCATGGCTCATGGCCTCAAGGGCTCATGGCCCCATGGCTGCATGGTCCCATGGCCCCAGGCCCTTGGACCCTATCAGCTGAATTTAAAGGGCCCGAGTGCATGCCCGCCCCCTCCGCTTGCTCCGCCCGCCCGCACTGCCCTTCTCATGGCCCCGTGGTCTCCAAGGGCTCGTGGCTCCATGGCTCCATGGTCCCAAGGCCCGGGCGGGCATGCACTGGGGCCCTTTAAATTCAGCTGATAGGGAGCCTCCGCTGGCTCTGCCCTTTCCGCCCTTGCCGCCCGCACTGCTTCTCATGGCCTCAAGGGCTCATGGCCCCATGGCTGCATGATCTGCCCTTGCTGCCCGCCCACCCCGTCCATGGCTCCATCCGCTCGAACCCCTCCCCACCCCCACCCCGACTCCCACCCACCCAGCCCGACTCCCACCCCCACATACACCCGTCTCTTCCTATGGCACCATGCCCGCGCTTCCCGCACTGCCCTTCTCATGGCCCAGGGGCTGCCGCCCCCTCCGCTTGCTTTGATTGCTCCGCTTGCTCCGCTCTTGCCCTTCTCATGGCCCCATGGACCCCAAGGGCGTACTCCCACCCCCCACATACACCCTGCCCACGGGTCCCTTCCTACAGCTCCATGGGCTGGCCGCCCCCTCCGCATGCTCCGCTTGCTCCGCTTGCTCCGCTCTTCCGCCCGTACGGCTCTTCTCATGGCCCCATGGTCCGCAAGGGCTCCATGGCTCCATGACTCCGCCCTTCCCACCCGCACTGCTTCTCATGGCCTCAAGGGCTCATGGCCCCATGGCTGCATGGTCCCATGGTCCCAGACCCCTGGACCCTAGCAGCTGAATTTAAAGGGCCAAGGGTCCCAGTGCATGCCCGCCCTCTCTGCCCTCCCCGCCCCCTCCGCCCTTTCCGCCCTTTCCGCCCCCTCCGCCCTTCCCGCTCCATGGCGCTCCATGGCTCCATGGTCCCATGGCCCCATGGTCCCATCCCGCCCGGCTTCAGACGCCTCTGCCCTTCCTTTGCCCCCCCATGGCCTCATGGCCCCATGCCTCTCACCCTCAATGGCTCATGGCCCCATGGCTCCATGGTCCCATCCCGCCCCATGGCTCCCATGGCTTCACCTTGGGACCCTCTCAGCTGACTTTAAAGGGTCCCAGTGCATGCCCACCCTCTCCGCCCTCCGCCCCTCCGCCCTTTCCGCCCTTTCCACCCCCTCCGCCCTTCCCGCTCCGCCCCCTCCGCCCTTCCCGCTCCATGGCGCTCCATATGGTTCCGGCCCCCCTTCCCGCCCCATGGCGCTCCTGGGCCTCATGTCCCTGGACCTTTTCCTCCGCCTTCTCCGCCGCCTCTGCCTTCCTTTACCCCCCCATGGCTCATGGCCCCATGCCTCTCACCCTTAATGGCTCATGGCCCCATGGCTCCATGGTCCCATCCCGCCCCATGGCTCCCATGGCTTCACGGCTTTGGACCCTATCAGCTGACTTTAAAGGGTCTCAGTGCATGCCCGCCCTCTCCCCCCCTCCGCCCTTTCCGCCCTTTCCGCCCCTCCGCCCTTCCCGCTCCATGGCGCTCCATATGGTTCCCGCCCCCTCCGCCCTTCCCGCCCATGGCGCTCCATGGCTTCATTGGTCCCATGCCCCATGGCTCCCACGACCTCTTCTCCGCCGCCTCTGCCCTTCCTATAATGGCTCATGGCCCCATGGCTCCATGGTCCCATCCCGCCCCATGGCTCCCATGGCTACCCCCAGTGCATGCCCGCCCTCTCCGCCCTCCCCGCCCCCTGCACCTTTTCATCCGCCTTCTCCGCCGCCTCTGCCCTTCCTCATGGCTCATGGCCCCATGGCTCCATGGTCCCATCCCGCCCCATGGCTCCCATGGCTTCACGGCTTTGGACCCTATCAGCTGACTTTAAAGGGTCCCAGTGCATGCCCGCCCTCTCTGCCCTCCCCGCCCCCTCCGCCCTTTCTGCCCTTTCCGCCCTTCCCGCTCCATGGCGCTCCATGGCTCCATGGTCCCATGGCCCCATGGTCCCATCCCGCCCGGCTTCAGACCTTATCATCCGCCTTCTCCGCCGCCTCTGCCCTTCCTTGCCCCCCCATGGCCTCATGGCCCCATGCCTCTCACCCTCAATGGCTCATGGCCCCATGGCTCCATGGTCCCATCCCGCCCCATGGCTCCCATGGCTTCACGGCTTTGAACCCTATCAGCTGACTTTAAAGGGTCCGAGCGCATGCCCGCCCTCTCCGCCCTCCCCGCCCCCTCCGCCCTTTCCGCCCTTTCCGCCCCTCCGCCCTTCCCGCTCCGCCCCCTCCGCCCTTCCCGCTCCATGGCGCCCTCCGCCCTTCCCGCCCCATGGCGCTCCATGGCTTCATTGGTCCCATGCCCCATGGCTCCCACGGCCTCACGTCCCTGGACCTTATCATCCGCCTTCTCCGCCGCCTCTGCCCTTCCTTTACCCCCCCATGGCCTCATGGCCCCACGCCTCTCACCCTCAATGGCTCATGGCCCCATGGCTCGTCCCATCCCGCCCCATGGCTCCCATGGCTTCACGGCTTTGGACCCTATCAGCTGACTTCACAGGGTCCCAGCGCATGCCCGCCCTCTCCGCCCTCCCCGCCCCCTCCGCCCTTTCCGCCCCCGCCCTTCCCGCTACATGGCGCTCCACGGCTCCATGGTTCTGTGGCCCATGGTCCCATCCCGCCCCATGGCTCCCATGGCTTCACGGCTTTGGACCCTCTCACCTGCGCCCTCTCCGCCTTTCCGCCCTCTCCGCCCTTTCCCCGCCCTCCACCCTTCCCGCTCCACCCATGGCCTCATGGCCCCATGCCTCTGGCCCCAATGGTGCGTGCTGCGAAACTCAAGCCTCTTGACACGCAGTGCCCAGACTCGACGTCATCCTCGCTACCTGACTCCGAGCCGCTTGCAGGTGCAGTGGCTGCTTCAACAGCATCATGGACCACTAGAGCCGGAACTGCAAACTCTTTGCGCGGGCGTCCGCGACCGTCGATGCCTCCACAAGCCACGCAACAGATGTCTCCAGCTGCGTTGCGCGCAGTGGTTTGCTTGCGTTTGCAAGAGGTACAAGCAGAGCCGACCATGTTGGGAGGTTGACTGTTGAGTTAAAGGGGTTTCGGATTGCGGGTGTACTGGTAACGACTAAGCTTGTAAGGCTTGGGATGCTCAAGGTCGTGTGGGCTTTTCCTACGATCTTGTGAAGGGCTCGTTGAGGGTTGTAGGTTTTAGAGGTCTTTGGGTTTCAGGATTTAGGGTTTAGGGTTCAGGGTTTGAAGGCCGGGCTTGTCTTTCTTTTTCCTGAGAAAGGAATGCCCTGTGTCTCTTCCGCCTACAGCTTAGGAAGCCTTTGGGGAGTTGAGGCTTGCAAGGTTGGGCTACCTAATGTGTTTGCCGCCAGGTACGCGCAGTTGCCGAAGCTGTGAACGTCCGACGCTTCAAGGCTCAGGGGGTTGAGGTAGGCCCTTTGTACATGTGTGCACTGAATTCGACTTCAAAGCTTCGGGTGTAGGGTTTAGGGCCTAGGTGTAACCGACCACGTGGATCTTTCTCTTCGGCCGAGGCCGTCGCCCTGCTTTGCCGGAGGCGCGGGCTTCGACCACATGTCGATGCCGCAATCTGCCAGAGCCTGTCAAACTTCGCGGCTTGTGCCAGGAGACCCTAAACCCTAAACCAAAAACCCTAAACTAACCCCCAGTAAGCCCAAAGCCCTGACACCAGCCACAAGCTCAAAGGAGGCGCCGCGCAGAGTCTGGCCCAAGGGGCCCCGAGGAGTGCGATGTCTTTCGTGTTTTGTTCAATTTTCTTTGTTTTTGTTAATTTTTTTTGAGGGGGCGGGTAGGGTTTGGGGTTTGGGGTTTAGGGTTTAGCGAAAATCAAACCCACGGTTCCTTCTTGCAAGTGCGGGTTGGAAAATCCATGCTGTTTATCTATGCTCATTATAAATAGGCCACTAACACCACACCATGAAGCTGCACCACTACTATCTCCACCAAACAATCCTTGCACTGCCATGTCCTTCACATGATAGCGAAGGTCCCTTTATTGTGTTGGCATCCATTTGCTTTGCAAAGTATGGATACGCACAATGTTTTGCGGGCATCTTCGCCCCCTAAACCCTGAAACCTAAACCACCTAAACCACACACTTTAAACCCTACACCATCAGGCCAGAGAGCAAAAAGGTCACAGCAAGGCCAACGAGCAGTAGTAGAAGGTCCGGGAGTAGTACTTCTCTATTCCCTGCTCGCCCTAGGCATGACCCTAAGCCCTAAACCCTAAACCCTGTTTGGGGACTCCAGGGTCTGAAGGATCAAGTGAAACAAGGGTGCATAGCAAACCCTCAAACCTAAACCCCTGATTTCATGCTTCTACAAAACTTCGGGCAGCAGAAAAGCTTAAGGTTCAACGTGAGGGTTTGAGGCCCCAGGCCTTAAGGTCATAACCCGTAACTCTAGAGTTCTGTTGGGGGGGGGGGGGCTACCTCACTAAACGCACTCAAGATGGAGAAGCAGATGCCCCACGCTACCAAGCTTCAGGGTTTCGGGCTTTAGGGTCCAAACCCGGAATCCAATCTTGGGCAGGGTTCAACCTAAACTAGACCGTCAGCCCTACCGCACCCCCCCTCAAACCTGGACCCTATACCCAAAGATCTGATCCTGGCCCGTGAAACCTGTTCCTCGGGTTGAGCCTGCCTCAAGCGCGAGGCGCGTCCCCAAACTCAACCTAACACTCCCTCCTCCCCAGCCAAAACGCCCTAGACCTCGAACCCAACAGTCCTACTAAGTTTTGGACTCCCCCCGTTTAAGTTTGAACCCGAAACCCTTTTTAACCGTGGGCCCCAAACCCTCAACCCTAACTGAAACACGCGATTCGTCCCAGGCACCTCGGCCCCGAGCCCGCACGAGGACGAAGCCCCAGCTACGGCTGCGGAGCTCCCAGGGGTGGTTTCGGATCCCATGCAAAAACCCTAAACCCTAAACCCTAAACCCTACATCCCAAACCCTAAACCCTAAACCTTAAACCCTATGTTGGACGGCTTGGGCGTGGGCAAACCAACCCTTTGGCGCGTATCATATGTAAAAGATATAGTTTACAATATGCAATATGATATATCATATAATACAATATATATCTATATATCACATATAATACATAGCATCTAGTATGCAGTATCTACTATATAGTATATCGTATGTCGTATATAGATTTTGTAGGTTATAGTATATATATATATATATCTAATCATATATTACATATTGCATATTTATATACATATGTTACATATTGCATCTTGCGTGCCGGAACCCCCCCCCCCCTTCCCAGCCAAGTCCTCCGATACGCGTTTCCCCCCCCCCCCCCTCTCCAATAGATACGCTAACCCCCCCCTCCCGGAAAGCACGCCGCTAAGCCGATACGCCGCTTCCCCCTCCTCCCCCGGAAATTGTACGCCGTTCGCCCCCCCCCGCCCCCCAAAGCCTCTGGGAAATATGCCCATGCGCCGATAAGCCGTTCTCCTCCCCCCCCCTGCCTTCCCCTCGAAATACACCAATACGACGAGTCCCCCCCCCCCCCCCCCGAAATACGCCGATACGCGACCCCTGCGGGGGCTTCCATCAGCAAGATTCCACGAGGAACAGGCGCAGGGAATACACAAGCACCCCTGACACCCGAAGCCGTCCAAAGCGCAAGCCCGGACGGCCTCGTGTTCACGTGACATCCTGCCGACGGAACCCTGCAGACCCCCCTCCACCCTGCCCCCTAGCCCTGGACCCTACACCCCGCACCGTCCGCCCGGCTGTGCTTCCCCTGTTGGGGGTCGGCGGCACTGGCGGTAGCCATTAAATCGGGCAGCGCGAGGTCCCCAAAGGACCGAGCAAATGCGGACCTTTTAGCCCGGGTCGTCCCGGGAATAGCCTTGCTGGCCTCTGGCCTTCTGCGAAGCAGAATTAGGCCGGACGCCAGTGCCGCCGACCCCCGCGTGCCGCCGGTGAACGGTTTTTTTTTCGTGGTTTTTTGCGTCGCCACGGAGGCCCCCAGAGGGCGCGCATCATGAGCATCAGCGGGTCCAGCCCGGGACCCAGGCGCGCATCAGGAGTATCAGCGGCTCCCGGGGCGGGACCCCGGGGGCGCATCAGGAGCATGACGCCCCCCAAAGGGCGGGCATAAGCGACGTGTCTAAGGTCGGGGCTAGGAAACAGGGAGTTTAGGGGCCTTATAAAGTGCTTAGAAACTTTAAGGGAATCTAGGAGCCTCAAACGCTTAGAGATTTGAAGGGAGTTTAGGGGCCTAAATGTTTGGAAACTTCAAGGGAGTTTAGGGGCCTCAAACTGCTCGCCCCGCGCTTCTGCCTGCGCTGCCCGCCCATGGGCGCAGCCCCTTAAAATAAAAAAGAATAATAAGATCAATTCGAACATCCAGGCGTCTGCACGGCACTTGGAAGCCCACTCTGCAAGCAGGAATGGGTCTTGGCCTTGTAGGGCATCTCGCTTTCGGTGCGCAGACCCACGTGCATGGCCTCGCAAACACGAGCAGCGAAGTCTGACGGGTCACAACTGCTTCCCAAAACAGATCAGTACCTACGTACCAAGTGTATAACCCAAAACAGCGTGCTCCTTACAAAAATGGAATCCCCAGATACACCCTGATGTGGGGGGAACCCTGTAAAATTCTCGAAGTGCAGCTCCAGGCCACGTAGCTCATGGCCAACTCCACCGTGGCCCCGGAGCAGCCGCCCGTACCACCGCAGCTCTTCGGATTCGGGACGCAGTCCACCAGCTCCTGGCAAAGGTTTTCAGGGCTTTGAAGGGCTTTGAGGGCTTTGAGGGTCTTGAGGGTCTTGAGGGTTTTACTGAGGGTTGTTGGGGATGTTGAGGGTTAACAGGTTAACAGGGTTCAGGGTGAGCTGACGCTCGCGTCTGAAGGGTCCTGGGCTGAGAAGCTCCGCGGCCGCCCGCTGATCTCCGCATGCGCCGTGAGGACCAGGGCACTGGTCACGGCCCAACAGGAACCGCAGCTGCCCTCAGAGCACAGCTCCAGAGGAGCACTCGGAGAGAGGCAGAGGGTTTAGGGTTTAGGGTTTAGGGTTTCGGGTTTAGGGTTTCGGGTTTAGGGTTTAGGGTTTAGGGTTTAGGGTTTAGGGTTTAGGGTAGCTGCATGTTTTGTCCCTAGAGGCGCCCCGATGGCTCAATCGAAGCAAGCGTCTTGGCTCGCAACTTCGTGAAGGGCAGCGAGCGAGGTCCAGTTAAACTGCTCCGGCAGCGAGCGCACCTGGGCCACAGAAATGGTGCCCCCCCCCCGACGAAGGGCCAAAAACCCTCAAACCGCTGCTATCAGCCCTGAAGCATGAGAGAGCCGACTCTTAAGCCCCCCCCCCTTTTACGCGCAGGTTCTCCGCGCCTGCACCAGGGAGCTGCCGGAACCGCCGGAGCCGCCGTCCTCGCGGGAGGCGCTGCCGCGCCAGCCGCGGAGCGCCTGCAGCTCCTCCTCGCGGAAGTCCTCGGCTCTCGGCTCGGCTCTCAGCTCGCTTCTTTCTCTCCTTTCTCTTTGCAAGAGAAAAGGGGAAGAACCTCCGCCGAAACCTTCCCCACGAAGCCTTCCCCCCCGAGAAAAATCGAGAACACACTCGCGAACCTCTCAGCAACCCTCCCGCGAAGCCGGGCCACTGCCAACGGCCCGAGGCCCGCGGTCCATCGCCGTGGAATGCTGTTCAGCACCCGCACCTCACGCTGAAGCACCCCCACTCATCTTGGATCTCTTCTTCGGGTGCGTGCCTTGTAATTGGGAAGCCTTTGCCTGCCCCAGGAAAACCAAGTAACACCCAACAGGACCCGGCAAAGAAGGGAAATAACCCTAGGAAGGGATCATGCATCCATCTACCAAATAGAACTTCTGCTGGGTAGCTGCCGATTTCGGTTCCCCATGCGATTACAATGGATTCTTGATTTAGGTCAGCCGTACAAAATCGGCTAACCGGGCATGCGATTCCAAGGGTGCGAACGTCCTAAAAACCATTGAGTATGATAAGATGGCAAGTGCACACGCGTGTCGTTTGATCTGATAATTGGGCTTTTGGGGGACTGTTCAAAAGACCCGGGTGAAGAAAACCGCCCACAATGCACCTTTCCAGCTCCAGCAATACGACTCATGAAAAGGCGAGCGTTATCCAGACCAGGCGTCAACAGGGTCTCAAGGTGTGACAGGGAGATTCCGCTGAGCTAGAAAGGGTCTTTTCATGATGTAAACAAACAAGCACGCCCCATGGCAGGCCCCTCTGTATGCAAAACCGTTGGACTCTAAAATACATACTCGTTTTAATAGGATGTATATAATCTAGCTTAAGTGATTTGGTGATCATCGCTCAGGGTTAGCCGTTGTAATCAAGTCTTCAAAGCTTCCATCAAGGTCAACAAATTAAGGCATTTCAATGATCGAGTTTTAACGCTACCTGAGTTTCCCCATGTCGCTAGTTCACATAATTGAGCTTCTCACATGAATGCGCATAACAGGCGCGCGAGCGCGGAGGGGTGTGTGTGTGTGTGTAAATACATGGTTAAAGATTCATGAACCTACCCCTGTTTTTGAAACGTTGGTTCCCGTCACGTGAAGAATGTAAATAGTTGCAACTTGAAGTCAGATGTGGTTATTTCGTGCAGGAAGGGTCTCGCCGGGAATGGGCAAGAAATAACATTTACATGCCCGGGAATGTAGGAAGAGAGAATGAAGGACAGTTACTGGTGGCAGTTAACCCAAGAGCCCGACTCGATACTGAAAGATTGAAAACAATCAGGATCGCAGTTTGCAGGATCTGAAGCTCAGACTGAAAGGTGGAGTTGCATAAACTCGGGCTCAGGATGCAGGATCCAAAGTCCAAGGATGAAACTCGATCGATTGTTCGATTCTTCAAGATCCAAGATTCCCTCCCTCTGCAAGTTCGGTGAGACACACCCGGACTCGGATGGATGCTCATGATGCTTGCAGGGGGGTGGACCCAAGCGGAACATACGCTTGTTTCCACGTGCGACTCTGCCAGCGAAGTGGAGCAGACACGGAGTTTGGCTCGAGGGTGTTTTGTCTTTTTTCGGGGGAGAAGGGGACTATATATATATATATAGTCATTCATTTATTTTCTTATATTTATATTTATATGTATATTTATATTCTTTTTTTTTGTAGACACGTACGCATATCCGCTTGTTCTTCGGCTTTTGTTTGCGGCCTCGGGACCTCTTCCGCACGAGCCTCGAAGATCTCTCGGCGCTCCTCGAACTCTCGGGAGCCGGGTTCGTAGCCTCGGATGGCGCACACCGAGAAAGCGAAGCGGCAACGCTCCCGCCCGGGCCGAAATCTAGCAGAGGAAGCGCAGGCAGAAGAACAAAAACAAAGACAAAAAGACAACAAAACACAAAAACACAAAAACATCAGCTGGGAGTGATGTCGACCCCAAGGCACTTCGCCCGAACCGCTGGACGAAGGCCTGGAAGTCCTCGAGACGCGCAGATGCGAGTGCTGTCAGCAGCGGCCAGCGCCAGGTGCTCAGAGGCATCTCCTCAACGTTGAGGCGCCTCCCCCATACGTAAGAAAGCACTTTCGATTTTTTTTGATCTTAAAAAAGGAGCTGCGGAGCTTGAAGTCGCTAGAGAGAGTGGTCTTTGTTGATTCCTTTTTGTATATACACATTGCTACACAAGGAGGCAACCAGCAGGGATCCAGCCTCGTCAAGCTTTGCCACTGCCTGCTGAAGCTGGACTTGCAGCTTTTCCTTCACCAAGGTCCACTCGCGTGGGGGAATGATGGCAAGGCTTGCTGGTCATCAGCTCAGGGAAAGTTCGGCCGACTCAGTGGTCAACCTGGTTAGGTCTTCATCGGCGTCTACCGTCCTCCGCGGTGGTGATGCCAGCGGACATCGTGGCCAGATGACGCTCTGCCTCGGCTTGGCATACCCTCCCTCCCCTGTATGTTTCTACTGAGCCAAGGAATGCGCAGCCATTCATTGCGCCCCGCGCCTCTGATGATAGGGCCGCTGTTGCACTCTCGCTCGCGGCTCCGACCTCATGACAGCTGCAGGAAGAGCTTGTGCAGACATGCAGAAAGAGAGCACACCCAAACAAAAACAGTACAAAAGACGCCGGCAGTATGCTCGACGCGCGAGCGCGGCTGGGCAACAAGTTCCACCCGAGTCTTGACGAGTTTGCACGAGCAGGTCAGCTCCAACCTTTCCCTGAGGAGCGTGGAAGTGATGCAAAACGATGAGATCGCGCCACTCGGAGGCATCACAGCAGGGCACCGTGCGGCAGCTGGCTATGAACCCGAAACCCTAACCCTAAACCCTATACCCTAAACCCTAAACCCTATACCCTATTCATGATCAAAGGCTGAGAGCAGCAGGCCCGAGATCCCGGCAGCAGACGAAGTCGACTGAAGAGCGGAAGCCTGCTGAGAAGCGTTTTTATCGTCACCCGAGCGGGCGCTAAACTCTGTAGCGCTTTACGGGGTGTAGCTTCTTCAGCTTTCAGGACTTGCGGAAATCTCTTCTGCTCTATTCTAATCTACCCTGTTCTATTCGTTTTACTGTATAACCATATACACGTTTTATGTGAAGTCCTCACTTCACCCGCCTGTTCGGCCAAGGCCTCTGCCATGCCTTGCACCTCACAGGCAACTCTTCATTTTGTGAGATTCATGATGTGACTGTGGCTTCCGTCTCTGAGTCGGTGTCAGTGACCTAGCCTAGCTGAGATACACAAGAGCCGCCGGTTCAAACTCACGCTGCTACTAGTTTCGTGACACGATTAACACATGCCCTGCATTTCCAGGTTCCGAGAGCTTCCGCAGCACCATGTCCAGTTCACTGGCGCCATCTGGCGAATCTCTACCCGAAGTTCCCGGAGGGGCACGCGGTGCCCAAAATGTGCCAAGCTCCTGGCTGAAGCCACATGTTGCTCCGCGAGCGTGGCCTTCTCATGCACCGCCTCGGCCTGAAGCGGACCGGTAAAACAGCGACTGACGCCTCTGCAAGAAAGAAGACAGGCCAGGGTGCCAGCGTTCGTTTGCACAGCCGTCAGAGCACTACGCGCTGTGGAGGCATGCGTTTCAGCCGCCTCAGCCTCATTGCACTCATGGCGGAACACCACGTGAAATCAAGTGAAACTCACTGAAGCCTCCCTTCTGCCATGGAACCGTTCGCGACGCAGCATCGGCCGACTTCTGAGCATCACGAGCATGGTTCTCTGCAGCTGCAACCTCGCATCTCTGAAAACATCGAAATACGAGTAGACATCGCGCAGTCGCTGTGCCCTTGCAAGCCAGGAAACCGCTGTGGCTGCTGATTCGACAGCACCCTGGGCTGTGCGCGCATGGCTTTCCGCAGACGTAGCCTTCGGCACGACACGCACTTGCATCCCTTGTTGCTACAGCACGCGCAGTCACCTCACAAAGAAAAAGGGTCTGGCGTTCGACGCAACTGTTGCAGCCACCTGTTGAGCTTGCAGGACCTTAAAATCCATGAATGTCGAATGTTGACAACAGATGCCGGAATGGACGTAGCAGCTCTGCATGAACACGTAAGGCGACAGACAGGACGGTCTGGAGAATTTACACGCTTTGTCCACCCAACGTGGCGAATCCGAAGCAACAACGACCGATTTGTGCAACAACGCTGCAGAAAAGTAGTTCTTGCATGTGGCGTTCACGGTATGACACACCATGACACACGAGCCCCTGGCAGCTTCCCGCATCTCGCCTGCAAAAGGATGCCAAGTACTCGCGAATCCTAGGGGTATTCCCAAAATCGGGGTACCCGTTTTATTCTCCAGGACCCCCAAAAAGGGTACCCCTATTTTCGGAAAGCCCCATCTCGTTCCCAAGCTTCCTTTGGCGCTTTGGGGGGCCTTGCCTGCAAGGCTGTCTGCCTGTGCAGCATGCTGCGCCTGAGCTGCGCGCAAGTCAGCAAACCAGCTTCGGATCGGTCACAACTAGCACGCAACGTGCTGCCACGCGATGTCCCCAGAAGAAGGAAGAAGGACATCAGAGAATCAGAGAAAGCTCTGGGTCCGCAAGCAGCGAGCTGCTGCGCTGCGATGGCTTCCGCAGGGCTCGGCCTCGACGTGGGCTTCGAATGGTCCCGACACTCTCAGACCCCGCTCTAAGGAGTGTGGCTTCTCTGTGACTAAGTCCTTCTTCATGCTTTAAATCTTGCGCCCAACTCTGACATGATGTGTGAGGCGCGCTATTCTTGGGACCGATGCTGTTGCTGAACACGCGCATCCACAACGTCCACCTGTTTCTGCACCGCCTGTGCCAGCACGATGAGGTTGTGCGACGCACCGCAGTGAGCAGTGAAACGGCGCCTTGCCTGCAGAAGTTGTTCCAGCTTGGCACACCTTGAATCCTCCCGGCTCTTGCGAGACAGGGCTACAAAGAGGAAGCGTTCGAAGGAAGACTTGTTCCCCACTGGCTCTACGCCTCTGCATGAACAAGGTTCGACACGCCTTGAAGATGCTATGCATGCAACAGAGCAGACTCATGCCGCAAAACGCAGGTGAAGAGCTCCCAAACGCAGGTGAAGAGCTCCCTGCTTGAAGGGGGGGAAGGCAGGCACCCCATCCACGTCTCCTGTGATCTCTCCAGGTTCTCCACGTGCTTTGTCAACCTGCCCCCGTCAGTGTTCTGGCCCGCCATGTAATCCCGTTCTTTCGGATGGCCAGACTTCTTTGCGTGCCAAGACGCTGCTCACAAAGCGTTTCGGCCCGTTGCTTCGAGGCGGCGCACTCCTCTGCGAAAAGAAAGACTCACGGCGCCCGGGTGAGCAGTTCTCTCACGGATTGCGCTTGCAGAAGGAGAGAAAGAGAGAACAAGAGAGAAAGAGAGAAAGAGAGAAGGGGAGAAAGAGAGAAAGAGAGAAAGAGAGAAAGAGAGAAAGAGAGAAAGAGAGAAAGAGAGAAAGAGAGAAAGAGAGAAAGAGAGAAAGAGAGAAAGAGAGAAAGAGGGAAAGAGAGAAAGAGAAGAGAGAAGGAGAGAAGGGGAGAAAGAGAGAAGGGGAGAAAGAGAGAAGGGGAGAAAGAGAGAAGGGGAGAGAGGGAGGGGGGGAGAGAGGGAGGGGGAGGGAGAGAGAAAAAAACATCGAGAGAGAGAGAGAGAGAGAGCTGAGAGCGAGAGCTCCTCTGAGGCCTTTCTGGTGCACTCCGCGCACTCCTGTGCCTCCGTGCCCCCCACAATTTTTTCTTTTTTGGAGCAGTTGGTGTCTCAAAGCCAAAGTCGTCTTGGGCACTTCCGCTTGGGCGCTGGCAAGCTTCTTCTCACAGGCTGCCTCTCTTGCGTCTCCAAGCATCTTGACTCTACCCGCGTCACTGGCAGAGGGGCCTGGACACCTTGCGCTTCCTTGGCGGCATCGGCGCGCCTTAAAGAAACGTGGAGACAAAAGACGACCAGAGAGTCAGGAGTCAAAGAGCAAGTCGGAGTGAGGGTGAAGTCAATAAAAGGGGGGGAGGCCCCGGCAGCTCACCGAGTATCTGCTGCATCTCTTCTCCATGCTTCGTCAGCGCAGCCTCTCTGATCTCTCTGCAGCTTTAGGGTTCATGGGGTTTATAGAGTTGTCAGGCTTTATGTAGATAATATCGGGTTTGTAGGGTTAGAGGCTTACAATGGCTCTTACAGGGTTTATAGGGTTCAAGGCTTGCACTGCCTGAAAGTTCTCTTTTGGTTTAGGGTTCGGAGGGGACCTCAGAATAGGACAGCACCCTCCTTAAAGGGGCATACCGGGCATACCGCGTGGCTTTAAGGGGGCGCTCCTTGAAGCCGGTCATGTCCAGGAGGCCCTCCCTCAGGGCCCGAGCCTGAAGGTCCTGGCGCAAGCAGCCAAAAAGAGAGAGGATCCCCACCAACAGGGGGGTTTCTACCAGGGTGCTCTCGTAACAGCGAGCGAAACTTTATCATGCTGCAAGGCAAATACAACAAAAATACATGATATGAGGTCGTATTGTTCTGTAATGATATCACAAGAAGATGATACTACAAGGTTGTGCTACTAAACAAAGGCCACGGCACCAGCTGATCTTTCTGAGCAGAGACATCTTGACCTTCGCATCTCACGCACTGTGTCTGCACTCATAGGCGCGCACAAGGCAAGCTCCCAAAAGGCGCGTAGGTCCACTGCGAAGTGTCGCCACAGCCTGCGCGACCGAACCCGTCGAACGAGCGAGGCCCTTGCCGCAGTTGCCCTGACACCAAAAAATGCCTCGTCCAGGACGCCGCCAAGGAGAGTCTGCGCGAGGTCTTGGAGGATGCCCTTTCTCGAATTTGGCATTGCGACCGTGCGACAAAGGAACGTAAGGTTGCAAAGGAACCCCCGGAGGTCTACGAACCCAGCGAACCCAAAAGAGGAGAGGAGAGCAAAGATGTACCACTGTGCACATGGTCTTGGCTTCTCGATTTTTCCACGTCAGAACACGATTCTTCCGCCAGCAGTTGCCCAGTCAAAGGAGTCTGAGGCAGGTGTGCCATGCGTGCCCCTCACACTATGTACAGAAGTCCTTGAAGCAGTTTTGCATCATCTTTGCTGGGTCTCCAAATTTGACGAACTGTTTTGCAGACTCTTGACAACTGCCAAACTGTTGACACTACCTGGGTCGCCGGCTGCTGGCTGTCCTCGGAGCACGGGACGGCAGAGGCTCAAATTGGATCCGCGAGAGATGCTTCCTACCATTTCCTACCCCCAATGCCTTGGGATGCTCGCCAACAGTACCCGTGATGCCACGTCGATGGTTCCTCTCCCAGTCCTGGCAAAAGGGACATAAAGGGACAACAGACAAAGGGACACTAGACAGTCAACTCAACGACCACACCATCAAGTTTGCCTCCATGCGCGCTGCTTCCCGCTCCATGCTCCAGCGAATCCTTCGCAAAGCCCCACCAAAGCGGGCGAAAGAAAAGACTCCGACGCTCTGACGGGGGCCGGCTCGCGCGAAGAGTCCTCTCAAGCTCAAGGGACTCGTCAATGGCAGATGACGTCCTTGGAATGCACAGCGGTTTGATGACAGAGGAGTCTGAGCTCATCAGCCCAGCACGGCGTACACCAAGTTCTGTAGAAGGGGCGGCTCTTGGTGCAGCTCCTCTGCGCACTGTGCCTGGCACCAAGTAGGGACGAGCGTCTGTGTGATTTCTGTGGCAGCCCCGAAAAGTTCACATTACCAGGCCTGTCTCTGCTTTTGCTGCAGCAGCATCTGCTGCAGGGCACCCAGAGTCAGCGGCTTCTCGATGGCCTTCTCACCGCGATCCTTGCACATACAACCAGGTGACACCGTCCTAAAAAACGCCCCAACATGCCGCGCTGAGATGTTGTAGCAGGGATGTTGGAGGTGTTTAGTGATCTGAAAGAAATCGTACGATGACCCTTCTCATCCAGCACTTAAGGGGGGGAACATGGTGTCCTCTTTGAGGTTCGCGTGGCTCAGGGAGGGCTCTTCCGAGAACAGCTCCATGGACCGCAGATCCCGGCACAGCTCCTGCAGTCTCATTAGTGGCTCTCATTATGGCTCATATAGGGGTTTAGGGTTTAGGGTTTAGGGTTTAGGGTTTAGGGTTTAGGGTTTAGGGTTTAGGGTGGCTCATTATGGCTCCGAACCCCCACGAACGCCCCTAAAGCCTCAAGGGGAAGCGCAGGTTGTGGGAAGCCCCTTCCCCTTCCGACAATCTGCGCTCTCGTGCTTTCCTTTGCCCCCCGCGTCCTTCAGCTCTCTGCTGAGATGCTCGCACGGCAGCGTATACCGCAGCACCATGTCCGCCAACTCTTGGCGTCGCGAGCTCACCAGCCCAGCGGACCAGTTCATCACGCAGGCCCCGAGGCCTGCATGCGGACAAACGTGACGCGCGACATCACACGACTCTCTAAGCCGTGACTCAGAAAACACATCCCACCTGCAAGGGACTGTGCCAACGCCGCAATTTGCAAGCGCAGCACTTCCAGCTCGTAGGCGAGGCCTCTGCAACATCACTTGCCACGGCTCCTACTGGTACGGCTACATGATGTGAAGAGCTGCTCCTTGATATCAAAACACGCACGTCTTCAGAAATCACGTCACACCGTCAGAGCAACTGCGCCTGAGCTGGGACTGTGGAAGCTCGTCGCATGGCTCTTGGAGCTCAGCGGGCTGGCACTTTGCAGGTCCCTGGGCTTCAGCGCCTGCCCGATTTCTGACAGAGGCCCCCCAGAGAAGCGCAGGGAACGTCTCCATGTGTCTACAACATCGGCCGAGATTCAGGGAGCAAGTCTGAGAGGTTCGCATCCAGAGATCGCAGCCTCAGGGGGACGTCCACGTCGGTTCCATCCCCTCGCATTAGCTCTTTGCCGTACTCATTTGAAGCAGAGCGGCGCTTCCTGTGTGGGAGGGCTCCTCGCGTGCCACTCCCACTCCGCCCAGGAGTCCAAGTCTGGGGGCGCAAGGGATTGGGGCGGATGCTACGACTGGAACCACTGCTTTTTTCACTTTGAGTTAGGGCTTGTAGAGTTCAGGGTTTTGGGTTTGGGGGGAGGGTATACAGACACGGTACTCATATATTCATTCCAGACACACCGTTCCATCCCTGGCACCTGGAGGCTCTGGCGGAGGGGCCTCCTTCCGCAGCTTCAGGCCACCAACGAAGTTCCCCATCCTCGTCTGAGGAACACAGCAAGACACTGCAACCAAGGACAGGCCCGGCCCCAAAATGGGCCGCATACCCTTTCCGAAAAGGCAGCATTGCCGCATGAAGCGTTGGAATCTGTGCTCCCCGGCTCTACCAGCTGGCTCTTCAGAAGGTCCCCCAAGCTCCCCTCGAAGGGCTCCCGATCTCCAAGCAAGCCATCGCCAAGCTGTGCCTCGGAGGCTCTCCACAATTCTCCACATGTTCGTGTTCGAACATTCCTAAAACTTCTGGAATCCAATCTCCCTGACGCCCCCCAAGGTGACAAATCCTGCCCTGCCACCCTCCCGCCCCCCCAAAGTGCCGGCGCGCCACTGCCGGCGCCGCTGCCAGGGAGGTCGAGGTCGCAGAGCGCGGGCCTTCCCCGAGTTGAGCTGCCCGAGAGAGAGACATCCGCTTAGAAACTTGTGGCCCCCAGGCCTGGTGTCCCATGATCCTCTCTGGACATGGGGTCGCCAAGACGTTTAATGGAAATGTTGCCGCTGTTGTTGCGCTTCAACTCTCCGTGACAGCCTGAATCCACTTACGCAAGTTGAGCTGCCGTCAGGCGGCTAGTGTCGACCGCTCTCATGACGGGCAAGCTGCTTGCAGAGTGTCGCTGGAACGCACGCGCTGCTTGAGAAGGACAAGCGTGCTGAGCGTGCTGAGCGTGCTCTTGCAGCAGCAGCTGAAAGCATTGCAAACATCTCTCGTCTTCTTCAAAAAAGGGGATGCAACAGCTGGGCCTGCTGAGAGGACACCTGGGCCTTCAGCTTCTCCATCTCTTGCTCACGGTGGGTCTTGTCTTCATCCAACTGCCGCAACACCTGCGCGCACTTGTTAGCCACACCTTTTCGGGCCTGTCTTTTTGGTGGCAGATGCAACTCATGAAACGCCTCTTTCAAGAGGTTATTGGAGGAGATGCCGGAGCCACCAAGAGCCTGCGCAAGCACTCAGACACATGGGGAGTCGCAGATCGCAGTTCAATCCGAGGCCGGCACGTCCTCGTGGGTCTTCACTTGTGAGAACCTGCCGTGGTCTGCAGAGTTTTGCAGTGTGCAGAATGAAGCGTTGACCCCATGACGTGCCACTCTCCTTGCCTGGACACGTCGCTGAGGAGGGTCCCCGGCCTGTGGAGGATGCTCGGTCTACATGTTGCCCAAGATGCCGCGGCCGCGGCCGCGCGGCCGCTCTCCCCCCCTTCTTTGCACTTTTCCGTGTTTGGGGGGGGTGCGACTCGGATCTGCCCGTGTGCAAGCGCTTCTCCGAAGCTGCACGAAGTATGTCAACCCCCCCCCACGATCCCCGCAGGTCGGAGCCCGCTTGTGGGTGTCTTTATCCCTTCCACTAAAGGGGTATGTAGGGATCACACGTGCTCCGAGACTCCTAGCTCCTACCTCTGCACAGACGCACACCCCACTTCGAATTGTCGATAGCGGATGGGCGCTTTGAGCCCTTCACATGCAAGTCACAGCTGATGTGATCAGCACAGCTGCAATCGCGCCAACAGGGCGTCCAGCTGCAGCTAATTCACCCGGCTCTAAGGCCTCAGGAGTACAGAAATCAGACGAAAGTGCTAATGACCTACGTAGTTGTACTACAAGTACTTAGTGATGCTTGGACTTGTCCGCGGCTTTGGCTGTCTCCAAAAGGCGCTAGACACCACGCCTGGGACTCTGGGACCGCAGCCAAGGCGGTTGACGTCGTAGCGCTACCAGTAGTGGTCCTCGGTTTCAAAAAAGAGCAGACATCCCACACTAAGTGCCGGCGAGAAGTGATTGCTGGATGCTGGGGATTCTCTGGGGCCAAGTGTCGATGCTGAAGTCTTCGAGGAGGTACCTGCACGAGGACTATGGACAGCCCCCTGAACACTAAACTCTTCAAGGACATGGAAGCGCCAGAGCGCTGGCAAAAGGCCCGACAATGCCCGACAGCAGCAGGCACGACAGCAGCAGGCACCAAGCAACGGGCAGGTCCCTGCCTGTGGTCGTCGAAGTGACCGTTCGCGTGGCACCTCCGCAGCGGATGGGACTCTAACCTTGAACTTCTAACATCTCAGGGCGCCTGAGTGTGTGGTGGAGGAAGCCGATGTGGACGTTGCACTGATGGTGGTGGCACCTAAACACCGTGAATTCTGCGAACGGCACAGGCAAGTTCAATCAATACCTTCTGCTGGCCTAGCATTCACGCGCAAATCGGTGGCCCAAGAATTACATTCGCACACCAGCTAAGGTGTGCGCTGGTAGTGCTGACAGTGGTGTCGCTCGCTCCTGAAACTGTGGGATTTGAACGACGCTTCACCACGCACGGCATCCGAGAAAATCCTTGCATGTTCCGCCACTCGTCTCCAAGGACATGCCGCGGGGACAGGTCTGCACAAACCTTGTCGCAAACCATCGTGACAAGATGACGTGCCACCCCCCCTCCCCCCCCCCGCGGGGAGAAAAAAAAAAAAAGACGGCCGGGCGGCTTCAGAGGGCGATGCGCAGGTGATCGTGCCACCTTCCGCAAACAAAGACAAGCAAATGCGGAGTCACTACCACTGAAAAGACGATTCGAAAGAGAGATACCAAAGAGCCCTAAACCACAGAGATGGCGAAACAGAACGAGAGAGAGAGAGAGAGAGAGAGAAAGAAGGCCATGTCTTTCTCCGAAACAAAACTGAAAAAACAAAGGAAAAAATTGAAGATCCGGGCCTGCACCCGCCAGGGTCCTTAGCACACAATCGCAGGGAGAAGAGGGAGGGCTTTCTTACTTGCCCTTTCCGGCTCTGTCGGGCCCCGTCTCACCTTCTTTCATAAGAGGCTCCCAGTCTGGGAACGCAATTCAATCGCTAGCTTGGATCTCCAGTTCTTTACAAACCCTAAACCCGAAACCCCAGACCCAAACCCTAAAAACCTTTGAAGGAGCTCTCTCCCGTGCTGGCCAATGAGCAGCTTCTGACCGTCGCTGCTACAGCTGCCGACGGACCGAACGCTCGTCCCATCAGCAACCTGCCAAATCCAGAATTTTCAAAGGTTTATAGCCGCAATACTAACGCATAAGATAATATACATAATAAATAAAATGAAAATGTGTAGATACATATATATATATATATATGCATACATACATATGTGTATATATATATATATATGTAATAGTATACTTCGTAGTGGACACCAATATCTAAATAGTATGTCAAGTATATACTACTTATATATATATATATATATATAACAATACAAAAAACTTACAATAATGAAACACAAAAACATGCGATCACTACCAAAACACTGGCCAAAATAGCATAAACAGTCGCGCGATGTAGCAGAGCACCACATGCCCGCAAAAGCGACACATGTGGTCTTAGTAAAGGTCGAGCACATGCGAAATTCCGCTAGCTTTGCTGTTTTTACAATTTGCCTTTCACCTCACCTTCGAACTTAGGCAGATTCCCGATTCAATTTACATTTTCTTGGCGCAGTGCGCGGCTTCGCCAAACTCTCTGTATTTGGCAAAGCTGTCTTGCGGCAACTTCCCTCCGTTCGAATTCTTGGTTGCAGGCGTTCTTTTACACTGAAAACCCTAAAAACCTTAAAACCCATAAAATCCTGCGAACCCGGGTTCCCAGAACTTTAAGGGTTTTTGAGGATTTTAAGTATTTTATAGAATTTAACAAAAGCTCGGCCTGAGCCAGAAAGAATATATGTTTCCCAGGATTGTAAAGATTTTGAAGAGTTTAAGGATCTTAAGGATTTTAAGGGCTTCCCAATTTTTTAAGAACCCACATAATAAAGAGAAGAATGCAAATCAATCCAAAATTTTCTGACGCCACCCCCCCCCCCCCCCGCCCTGTGGGACCCCCCCCAATCGCTTGGAGGAGCTGCAAACCGATGCTGTGGAGGGTCCCGCCTGTCGGTGGCTCCTAGAGGGGGAGTGCCTCAGCACACCTCCCCCCCCCCCCCCCCCCCCCCCCCCCCCCCCCCCCCCCCCCCCCCCCCCCCCCCCCCCCCCCCCCCCCCCCCCCCCCCCCCCACACCCCCCACCCCCCCCCCCCCCCCCCCCCCCCCCCCCCCCCCCCCCCCCCCCCCCCCCCCCCCCCCCCCCCCCCGCCCCCCCACCCCCCCCCCCCCCCCCCCCGCCCCCCCCCCCCCCCCCCCCCCCCCCCCCCCCCCCCCCCCCCCCCCCCTGACCTCTCTGCCCTTCCTCCCCTTGTTTTTGCGAAACCCTCTTTCCTCCTCCTGTCCTGGGGCCGGCCCGGCTGCCGAGGCGGCGCGCGCAAGCGTTTACAATTAAGAGGTTTAGGGGTCTTAGGATGCTTAGGGGGAACAAGGAAGATCGGGATCCTGGAGGCAAGAGCTTCCAATAGCATCCAACCCTCCCTCCCAGCCCGCCCAGCTCGCCATTGGATACTGCCTCTCCTCCCTCCCCTCGCCTCTAACTTCCCTCGAAGAAAGAGACCGATAGTCCTCCGGTGCTTTTTTGTCAGCCTACTTGGGCGCTTCCGGGTGAGTTGAAGCGTCGCTCATTCTGCCGCCCCTTTCCATCTCCTCCCCTCTCCTCTTTCCTTCCTGCCCTCCTTTTCCAAAACTTTCTGACAGAAAAAGGCAGAACAGAGAACAGTAAGGAAGACAGGTAAGATGAAAGAAGAAGGTGAGGAGACGAAGGGTGAACTCCTCCTTCGCTCGGCTCTCTCGCGTTTTCTTCCCTTGCCTTCCTCCTCTTCTGTTCTCCATGTGCTCTTCACAAGAGAGGAGACGTGAGCAAAGCAAAAGGCTCGCTCTCTCATCATCTTCTCCTTCCTCGTCTTCCTTGTCTCTCCATATCTCTCTCTCACACGAAGTTAGGAGGAGGAGTCGAGTCCTACTCTTACGGCCTGCCTCCTCTCTCCGCTTTTGTTTCTTTGGTTCCCTTTTTCAGGAAAAGGTAGGAGCCAAGAAGGAGAAAGCATTCTTTATTCTTCGCAGAAAGCTTTGGAAAGGAGGGGAGGAAGGAAAGAGGAGAGGGGAGGGATGAGAGAGAGAGAGAGAGCGAGAAAGAGAGAGAGAGAGAGACTGAGGTCGCTAAGGGCCGTGGTGCGCATGTATATTTACTGGGATGTCTTCCACGCAGTCTTTTCACACCGACCACTCCGAACAGAAATCAGGGCGCGCCTTAGTGCGCGAGGGGTAGGGCCACCGACCGTCCCTACTCCCTTATGCCCGGCAGAAGAAGATAATATGCAAAATGTATACAAAAGATACACATATATATATATATATATATACATACATACATACATATATATGTACAACAGTATATTCCAATCGGTGAAGGACGGTCCTGGAGCTGGTAGCTCTGCCCTCCAGCGTCACACATCACCTTGTAGCAGACAGGCCTGCAAGACTGACCAAGGGGGAAACGAGCGGTCGCTTCTCAAACCCTAAACCCTAAACACGAAACCCTAAACCCAAAACCCTAAGTTATGGCCCCTTTTCGGGGTTACGATGATCAAAACCCTCTGCCTCTCGTTGACAAAGTCATCCGGCTGTGCCACGAAGATTCCTGCAACCACTCTTACAAAGGCCCTGAACGTCTTGATGAGTGGAAGATGGTACAAGCAACCAAGCAACTCGTGTCGTTGCGGAGTTTCGGTGTTCAACGCATTGTGCGATGACCTAAGCACGAGCCTCCGTTGTCGGCCGGAACATCCTGGTGCAGCGTGCTCAGGAAGC